CAATTCCGGCCGAGCCTCCTCCAATTAATCCGCACTGCACGAAATTCTCACTGTAGGGATTGATTTCCCCTCATCAATTTCTCTGTGGCGACCCTTGCGCGGCCACCTCTCTTCCATTTTCTGTGCCGCCACCTGGCCTTCATCAGCTAGCACCCCGTCGCCGCAACACCGTGTACATCGCCGATCACCGGATCTCCGCCTCTTCACAGGTCCTCCGCGTGGGGGACATCTCCTCGAGCTTCTCACACTACCTCCCCTGCGCAGCTCGTCACCACCAGATCCTCCTCCGTCTCGCACTCCCTCCCGACCGCATCACCTCTCGGAAGCAGGTAGCAGGCACGACCACCGAATGAGTCCACATCCTCCACCCAATAGATTGAACCGGTGTGTTTTTGCTTGTGAATTTAGACCGCTTGCTGTGTATTTCCCATAAATTGAACTTGCCATTGATTGAACTTGTGTGCATGTGCATACTAAGTTCCCTATCAGAGGTTCCAAAAAATCGCACTCGCTAACAAATCACTGCTGTGGGATCGTCCTTGTTTATCTAAGGCCTGAGTTGATGCCCATATCGACGTGACCAACTTATTAAGCATGTTCCCTATTATATGAGCAATGCTGTTTTTTAGATGGGTTTGCTTGCTAGTATATACTAATACATTAGTATTGATTAAATGGGCAATACCAATTAGTATTGATAGAGGCAAAGGTGTCCCGTCTTTCGATGAGAAGGTGATTATCGTTTCGAAGGAATAGACTTTGACGATCCGACTATGAACGTGCGAGGACGTCACGCCTTAGCAATCGCTAAACCAACTCCGAGAGATTATTGACCATGCCGGAGCACGATCAACCTGACCATGAAAGTCTATTTCCTGTAAGCAAACGAAGAACAAGCAAGAAACCTAAGATTGCAATTTGGATATTGCGAATATAAGATGAAAGCTTTATTGATCAAGGTGGGGTTCTGTGACGTCTTGGTTTGGTCGTTGAACACAAATGAAGTACGCGGAGTTGCAGCTAGGGCGAACTTTTAATCTAAACAAAACCCAAAGTCTAAACGACGCCTTAAGGGCTGTATATATGGAGGAAGAGGGGTCTGAAACCAACCCTAACTCTATTTTCCCCACACATACGGACTCTAAAAACAGCCTATACTTCAGTATTTCGAAATTACATGGACCTGGCCCAAAAATAAGGTGGCGCAGCACCTATTATAAGCTATGGACGAAATTTATAAAATGGCATCTTGCATATTTCGTCCATGTCCTTGTATGTCATCAAGGAGGCTTCAAAGTACTGAAATCTGCACTAGAAACGCCATTATGGTTCCCTTCACGCGCGCCTTCATCTCCATGCTTGTTTCTGCTCCAGTGTTCATCTCTCTTGTCCATGCTAGGCCCTTCATTAGTAATCAACACAAAAGTATCCAATTTAGGCAGCATCATATTCTCATGAACATTAGAATTGTTACCCAGAAACGAGAATACCTGGTAATTCAATTGGCGTGCGCGAGCTCTAGTGATTGGTCCAGTATGTATAGCAGCAGGGGCAGTGGGTGTAACAATGGTATTGATGTCCTCATCATCATCCCCTTCTTGAAGTGAAGTCGTCCTCGACGGAAGCTCATCTTCCTCACCCAAATAGGGCTTCAAATCTGCAATGTTAAAAGTGGGACTAACCCCAAAATCTGCAGGCAGCTCAAGTTTATATGCATTATCATTTATTTTCTCTAACACCTTAAAAGGACCATCAGCACGTGGCATTAGCTTTGATTTGCGCAAATCAGGAAAATACCAATTAGTGAAACTGCATTGCTACAAAAAAAAATCCACCGGCGACCACGGGGGAAAGCCCCCATATGCAATGGTTCTATTGGGCACTGGACATGGCCCCATGATGAATAATAAGATGTATTAGTGTTCTTTTGGTAGTAGTTTCCTGCTTTCTCAGTCTTGCAATCAGAAGTCTTGACTTACAGCAGAAAAGGTAAATTTTCCTGTCAAGGTCATTGCAAACTATAGCTACTGTGAGACTAGTGCTATTTCCTGGCAAAAGTAAATTTTGTACGTTTCTGTGATACACTTAGTAGGAAAAACTTGTATATAACTAGTTGTACCACTCTCGGTACTTGCTTTAAGACACGAGATTTTTAGTTGTGTTTCGGCATATAAGTTTGCATGTAGCTATGATGTTAATTTCTCTCCTTTCTTTCCCTTAATTCCATTCATCTGTCATCCCTTTCCTGAACATTTATGCATCACCACCTAAGCAAACAGTCATCTTTCCAAAACACTTGACTAGGAACGTATGCAGTTATAGCATTCATCTTTCAGAGCACTGAACAAAGGTTCATATAGCATTCTCAGCAATTCCATGGTTTCGTGAAGATAGAACTTTCTTAAACACCATGCCTATCAAAGTATTCTATCTAAAAGGGCCACACATTTTCTTGGAACTGGAGGTCTAACTGAACATAACTTGGCACAGAAATGCAAGTTTTAAGCATGTTTTTCTTACTATTTGCATCTATATACTACGCATCATATGATGCCTATTGCTTTCATACAGCAATGGTTATTTAAACGGAAACCATGATACTTCGTCCACTCTTGAAAGAACTACATCCTAGAATCGATGAAGTCAAGTCTATCCAGCTTTAACCAAAGATACGATCATGAGTTTGGGTTACATGTATGAAAAGGAATGTGTATATTCGAGATAGAAATTCTTCAAATCATAACTTCATTTTCTGCAACTTATGTACTCCCTCCGTCCCAAAATAAGTGTCTCAATTTTGTACTAGCTTTTAGTACAAAGTTGTACTAAGGTTGAGACACTTATTTTCGGACGGAGGGAGTAGAAGCATAAAATTTAGTGATTGAAAGCTGTGTCTTATAGACTTTGAAATGTAAGAAGCACTATTCTTCTATTTTCTACAGATTGTGTACAAGTGATTTTGAAGTAAAGCCATAAGCAAAAGAAACTTGAATTGAATTTGAATGTTCAAAGTTGTTATGAGAATCCCAAATTTTGTAGCTGGAAGAACTTTGGTTTATACTCCCTTCGTTCCTAAATATAAGTCTTTTTAGAGATTTCAATATGGACTACATACGGATGTATATAGACATATTTTAGAGTGTAGATTCACTCATTTTGCTCCGTATGTAGTCCATATTGGAATCTCTAAAAAGACTTATATTTAGGAACGGAGGGAGTATGTATTATGTCAATGTTTGTATCTGTTCTTCTTCTACATGTTCATTTAATTGGTTCCAAATTACACGCGGGAAGGAACTCCTGATGAGCTTCACTGAAAATCTTGATAAACGCTTTCTTGATCATATAATGAAGAAAAATCTTGATAAGCGTGCTCTTGGTCATTTAACAAATTTGAACTCTTCTCCGAGGGCGATTGCACAGGAAATGTCTAATGTCCACATCAAGCATTACCATCAGTGGCGAAGCTACATGTAATCTGTGGGGTCAACTGACCCCACAGTTTTTTTGAAAACCTCCTTTGATTAGTAAGCTATCTTATAATAGTCTTTGGATTCATAGACTAATGACCACAGCTTGCTAATGAC